TATTATATATATATATATATATATATATATATATATATATATATATTTTTTTTTTTTTTTTTTTTTTTTTTCTTTCTTATGTATATATTATTATAATATATATATATAATATATATATAAAAGCGCACGTTATGATATATATTTTTTTTTTTTACTTGTTCCATTTTCATTTTATTTTCTTATTTCTTTTCCCCCGAAAAAAAGGCTTACATTTTTAGCAGCGTCATCGGGAACTGCGATTCCCGTCCCACAGCGCTCGCTCATTACAGCGCTTTCTTTTCTATATAACGAGACCTTCCTCGGCCTCGAAAAACGTCCTTTTCCTCCCAAAATAAACCTGCAGCCGCAGTCCACACTGATCAGCGCGCCTGGCGGCCCGAGTCCTCCCTCGAGGCCGCTGCGCCCTCCTGGCCCCTGTGCCTCTTGGCCTTCTTGCCCTTCCTCCGTTTCTCTTTGTTCTTCTGCCACGCCACCGCGTGACTCAGCAGCTCCTCCAGGGCGCCCAGGTCCGGGCGCGCCTGCGGATCCTCTTGCGTAGCCAGCCGAGCCGCCTCCTGCGCCTACAGCGGCAGCTCGTCGGCGTTGGCCTTGACCTGGCTTAGCTCCCGCAGCAGCGCACCCAACGAATAGACGTCGGCGGCGGGCGTGCTGGCGCCGCCGCGGGCCACATCGGGCGCCACGCACGGGAAGGCTCCCGGTTCCACGTCCAGGGCCAGCGAGTCGCCGCTAGGACACGCCACCGTGAACTCTACCAGACGCACGTCCCTCAGCTGGTAGTCGGCGTCGACGTGGACCACCACGTTGGGGATGGCCACGTCGTTGTGGACGATGCCGATGGCGTGCATCTCCCGCAGGTGTTGCACCACCCGCTTGACCACCTGCAGGTGGAGCGAGAGTGGGGCGGCCGCGTCCTGCAACAGGAACAAAAAATTGCATCCCAGCAGCGACTCCAGGAGCAGCATGGGTTGCTCAGCGCCGTAGCCCAGCAGCCTGGGGGCGCCGGCGCGGCCGTCCAGGCGTAGCAGAAGGGCTGCCTCCACAAAGGTCCTTGCGTGGCTCCGCATGACTTTCATGATCATGTCGACGCCGCCCAGCTACGTCGCGAACATTTCGGCGACCTGCGTGCTCCCGAGTGGCTCTTTCGGCTGCCGCTCCATGCTCTCGTTGTCCAGCAGCCACAACGCGACGCTCTTCTCACCGTCGGCGCATTCCACGGCCTTCATGGCCTCGCTGCGCAGGGATTGCTGTCCCTGCTCCTCGACGTGCCTCTGACCCTCCGGCAGCTGCTCCTCAACCTGCTACAAGGCAAGGGCCTCCGCCTCCGTCCGGCGCTGCTCGCGTTGGTGCCTGGCTAGCAACGTGCTCACCACCCGCACCATGGCGCGTCCTTCCTGAAGAAGCGGGGGCCTGGAGGGAGTCCTCGCCCGGTAGGGAGCTCCAATCTGGCGGTGGGACGGGCGCGGTATGTGTGTGTGAGAGAGAGAAAGATTGAGTGTGATTCTGATCGTGTGTGTGTATGTCTCTATTGTGTGCGTGCGTGTGAGGTCTTCTTTGCGTGTCAAAGTGTGTGTGTGTTTGCATGTAAACAAGCGTGTCAAAATGTGTCCATGCGCGTGCGCATGTGTGTGTGTGTGTTTGCGTGCAAGCAACGTGTGTGTGTGCCTATACCTGTGTGTGTTCGTGTGCATGGCTGTATGTGTTTGTGTGTATGTGTGCGTGATTCTTATCGTGTGTGTGTGTGTGTGTGTGTGTATGTCTCTATTGTGTGTGTGCGTGTGCGATCGTGTTTGCGTGTCAGAGTGTGTGTGTGTTTGCATGCAAACAAGCATGCGCATGTGTGTGTGTGTTTGCATGCAAACAAGCATGCGCATGTGTGTGTGTGTTTGCATGCAAACAAGCGTGTCAAAATGTGCCCATGTGCGTGCGCATGTGTGTGTGTGTTTGCGTGCAAGCAACGTGTGTGTGTGCTTATACCTGTGGGTTCGTGTGCATGGTTGTATATGGTTGTGTGTATGTGTGCGTGATTCTTATCGTGTGTGTGTGTGTGTGTATGTCTCTATTGTGTGAGTGCGTGTGAGATCGTGTTTGTGTGTCAAAGTGTGTGTGTGTTTGCATGCAAACAAGCATGCGCATGTGTGTGTGTGTTTGCGTGCAAGCAACGTGTGTGTGTGCATATATCTGTGTGTGTTCGTGTGCATGGTTGTATGTGGTTGTGTGTATGTGTACGTGATTCTTATCGTGTGTGTGTGTGTGTATGTCTCTATTGTGTGTGTGCGTGTGAGATCGTGTTTGTGTGTCAAAGTGTGTGTGTGTTTGCATGCAAACAAGCATGCGCATGCGTGTGTGTGTTTGCGTGCAAGCAACGTGTGTCTGTGCATATACCTGTGTGTGTTCGTGTGCATGGTTGTATGTGGTTGTGTGTATGTGTGCGCGTGTATAAGTGCATGTGTGTGGACATGATCGTGGGCGTGTGTGTGCGTGTGCGTGTGTGTGTTGGCGTAGTCTTAGTCGTTTGTGTTTGCGTGTGCGTGTGCGGCGTGGCGTGTGTTTGTGGGCGTGGGCGTGTGTTTGTGGTTGCGTGGGCGTGTGTGTGTGGGGGCGTGGGTGTGTGTGTGTGGTAGCGTGGGCGTGTGTGTGTGTGTGTGTGTGTGTGTGTGTGTGTGCTTGGGCATGTGTGTGTGTGTGTGCTTGGGCATGTGTGGTGCGTTCGTGTGCGTGCTGCGTGCTTTCGTGTGCTTGCGTGTGTGTGTGTGTGTGGGCGTGCATGCGTTCGTGCGCGTGTGTATGTGTGTGTGTGTGTGTGTGTGCGTTTGTGTGTGTCTGTGTGTGTGTGTTTGTATGTGTAGGTGTGGGCGTGCGTGCGTGCGTGCGTGCGTGTGTGTGTGTGTGTGTGTCAGTGTGTACAAGCAATGGTCCGAATATAAATGTGTCCTCTTCCTATCTCTCTTCCCTCTCCTTTTTCCATTTCCTCTTCCTCACCTTCCTTATTCTCCTCTCCTCTTTCCTCTTCCACCCTCATGTTCCTCCTTTCTTCCCTCCTTCCCTCCTTCCTTCCTTCCTTCCCTCCTTCCTTCCTTCTTCCTTCCGTCCTTCCTTCCTTCCTTCCTTCCTTCCTTCCTTCCTTCCTTCCTTCCTTCCTTCCTTCCTTTCCTTCCTTCCTTCCTTCCTTCCTTCCTTCCTTCTTCCTCTCGCTACACGTTTTCCACATTTCCCAAATCCGGTTATGGTAATTGCGCCTCGACATAAACAAATAAAAAAGTGAGATGGAGAACAAAAAAGACAGAAAAAAATGAATTAATAAGGTTTTGATTGCTCTGCGCGCCTCGTCGCTCCTCTGTTTACAACTTCGTAATAAGAGAGAGAGAGAGAAGAGAGAGAGAGAGAGAGAGAGAGAGAGAGAGAGAGAGAGAGAGAGAGAGAGAGAGAGAGAGAGAGAGAGAGAGAGAGAAGAGAGATGGGGAGAGAGAGAGAGAGAGAGAGAGAGAGACAGACAGACAGACAGACAGACAGACAGACAGACAGACAGACAGACAGACAGACAGACAGAGACAAAGACAGAGAGAGAGAGAGAGAGAGAGAGAGAGACGAGAGGAGAGAGAGAGAGGGGGGGGGGGGAGAAAGAAATGTTAATAACAATGTTGATAATAATAATAATAATAGTAATGAGAATAATAATGACATTAGTAAAAATAATAATGACAATAGTAATGATAATAATAATGATAATTATAGTGATAATGATAGTGATAACGGCGATTTATATTCCGATTACCAATATGAAAATATTTTAAAATTACACTGAGCGGAAGCAATGCATTATTATTATTATTATTTTTTTTTTTACCTGCATTATGTTATGATCGTTTGCGTTTATCATTTCTTTCCATCCAATAACACTTTTCTTGCCAGAGTTTTTTGTTCAGTATAGAATACGTGGCAGTGAAAATTTGCGTTTTGAAATGCTGTAAGAAAAGGCATTTCCTTCTTGTTTACTTCACTGCATTTCATGTTTGTGGGTGTGGTACATTTTTGCATAGC